TTTTCCCTTGTGAAAGCTTGAATCATGGCAAAAAGGAAAAAGAGGAACAAGTGATTGCCCCAATCGGCCATTGCCCACCCAGAGCCAGCTGAGGATCGGTGACGTGAAATCTTTGACTTTTATTCAGATCAAGAGCATAGCTCAACCATAATGATTTTAATCAGTATGATCATTCTAAATTTATGTTTAGAATTAGTAGTTGTTGATTCATTTAGATTGGAAGCCGATTATTGACAATTTTAAGGTTTATATTTTATTGCTTGTTGCTTTGCTGTAGCTCTGTTAGGCTTCTATATAAAATTCCTGAAAAGGTTTAATACTCTCTGTGGTTATTGAGTCAAGTTTGATGTGACTGACATTCCTATAAATTTGGTGAGTTAACACTTTTAAGTGGTAAGGGTTAAGACACACATTTCTCAGTGTTTGGTTACCCAATTCGCAGTGAGTGCGATTATCTAAGTCTTAGTGAGTGTGTGAGGTTGCATAACAGTTCACAGGGTTGACAGAAGGCCCAGATTGAACTGCTAAAATGATTTTTAGAAAGTTATATTAGAACAGGATTTTATCTAAAACATCCCATTATTTACTTGTTACATATATACACTATTCTTTAAATATCCTATCCTTAATAACATCTTATGTCAACTAAATACTGTGCAAAACAAATATTGTCTTAAGTGTCCAGTGACACAGCTTTCATTGGTTATTTCAGACTTAATTTACACTTCCTCAAGGAGCCAGAGTGTACTGGCTTATAAAAATTTCTCAGTACAGTAACATCTGCCACAATAAACTGCCGGTAGTTGTTATTTGGGAGGTTTGGGGTCTTATCCTGAATTAATAACATGAAAGAGGGAGGTCTGCAGGGAACTCTGTTCGCAGGTTCATGGTAGTCAATTACTGAGTGAATATCTCCGTCATACAACCTCAAGCAGTGTTTGGAGCTTTAGTATGTTTCAAATATGCCACCTTAGCGTGAGAGGTAAGCTTTATTCCTATGTCCAGCATATCGTGGCCTTCAAACACTGTACAGGAACATTCCCAGACATGCAGTAACCTCAAGCTGTATTTTTCTCCACATCCTCTGGTCACAGTGCAGCAGCAGGAGGGAAAATATATCCACAAAACCGGGCGCAGTCGAAAAATTCTGCTTTTACAATGGCACCGGTGGATGTCAGACAAGCTCACATGAACACGCAACTGCCTGGAGATTATGATCATTCAAGGAAATTTCTAAACTATCAAGTAATACTTCATTTTGTTAGTCTCAAGAGTGAGAGTTTTCAGACTTGTATAAGCAAAGTTGCTTCTGCATAGAAGTACTAGAATATACTGTATGTACACCTCGTTTTTTTAGCGTTAGGTCAGGTCTAAGATAATTCATCAATGTAACATTGTAGATAAGTCAGAAACTAGGAAAAGCATGCCATGGGCTCTTTAACTTACCAAACACCAAGCAGCAACACAAACTCCTCTTCTTCTTTGAGGTTTTACAGCAGCTGTTGCAGTGAGCAACACATACTGGTAGATGGAAACCACCCACACAGGATATTATAGAAGTAAAGCGAATCCATCCAAAAAAGTAGCCACAGTCATTTCATTCATCAACACCAAAGCTAGCACTCCATTGTCTGGTGAATTTTATGTAAACGGTTTGAGTTTGAGCACAGGAAAATTGTGCAAGCAGCATTATATTTGAAATCAAGAACAGAGATTTGAGGTAAATTTGAGTGTGAGGAACAGGTAGAATTATGAAATTGAAGCTCATGCTCTTGATTAAAGATAGGAATAAACCCCCATAGTTATTGTGTATGTACATATGTTGTGGTCACTCCGTTCCAGGTAGACATTGATGGGCTGTCTAAGAAAAGCAGTTTGTCAGTGAGGCAAACTGAGCGCTGGTTCAGAAGACGACGTAATCAGGATCGCCCTGGAGTCTTGAAGAAGTTCAAAGAGGCCAGGTCACTACTCTGTGTGTGTGTGTGTGTGTGTGTGGTTTTATGATAACAATAATGTGATACCTTAAAGAGCCATAGTCTATATGTCTCCCTTTGCTTCTTACAGTTGGAGGTTTGCCTTTTACCTGTCAGCATCTATTGGAGGAATAATAGCACTGTACGATGTGAGTAGAAATCTGAGCCTGTCTCAGCTGAAACATAAGCATGAAAAGCAACTCAAAACAGCTGTGGTGAAATGTTATAGTCACTAGTAGCCTTCAATATTCTTACTCTGTTTCAAATAAACTATAGAAATAAAATAACATTTTCTTTCTGTGTTGCAGAAACAGTGGTTCTATGACACTCGAGAAGTATGGACAGATTTTCCAAAGCAGGTTTGTACTTTTTTCCTTTTTTACATGATAATCATCATATTAACTACCTCTCCCCCAATCAGCCCACCATCTCTGAGGATCTGTGAAAGAGATGTGTGTTGCCTTTTTAGGAAACAAAAGATCAGTAACACATCAGGCCCAGACAGTATGACCCCCTCCTGTCTGAAAGTCTGTGCTGACTTGGCTCCCATCTTCACGCAAATCTTCAGTAGATCACTAGAGCTTTGTGTGGTTCCCTCCTGTTTTAAATGCACCACTATCATCCCGGTTCCCAGGAAATCCTTCATCTGGGAACTGAATGACTACAGACCTGTCCCCCTGACATCTGTAGTCATGAAGTGTTTTGAGAGACTGGTCCTGGCCCACCTGAAGACAATCACAGACCCCTGGCTGGATTCCCTTCAGTTTGCTTATCGAAAAAACAGGTCAGTTGACGATGCAGTCAACATGGCACTGCACTACACCCTGCAACACCTTGACTCACCAGTGACCTATGCACGGGCCCTCTTTGCGGACTTCAGCTCGGCATTTAACACCATCATCCCAGACATCCTCCACTCCAAACATAACCCGGCTCACTGTGCCTGCCCCCACCTGTCAGTTGATCACCAGACGGACAGGAAACAGCAGATGAGGGTGGAGAAAACCACATCCAGCACCGGGACTATCAGCACAGGTGCCCGCCAGGGATATATGCTCTCCCCACTGTTGTTCTCCCTCTATACCAATGACTGCACCTCAGGAGACCTTTGTGTAGAAACACTGAAGTTTGCAGACGACACAACAGTCATCGGCCTCATTCAAGACGTTACAGGTCACTATGCACCAAAACAAATAGATACAGAGACGGTTTCTTCCCCAAGGCTATTAAACTTATGAACAGCCAGTCCATGTTGCTCTTTTAACTTGTGCTTTTTAACTTGTATATATTTTTTGTATTTATTTATTTTGTTACTTATTTTGTTTTTATGTTGTGCATATCGGGGACCATTGAGCTGGAGTCAAATTCCTTGTATTTTTTAAAATACTTTGCAATAAAGTGTATGCTTATGCTTAAAATCAGAAACTGGATTGATTATTTAGCTCACTAGCATTAGTAGTCCTAGTTCCTCATTTAGTGTATAGTTTCTGCCAAGCATTTTTTATTCTACTAATCTTTTGCTCTTTGGCTCTAGTTTGAAATCTGCCACCACATCCAGGCTATATGATCAACCACCCATAGTCCAAAGGGACTTATGGTTTGTATGCTACATTGGCTACAGTTTGTAACAATTGAGAACACTGGATTAACCAGATTGCTAAATGGATACATATACACTTTGGGTATTAATCCATAAATTGTGCCAATTTAAGTTCAGAAAGGCCACCTTTTACCAAAGGCCTAATAAAGTTTGATGTATGTGTCATTTATGGGGGTTTTGGCAGGACTCAAATGCATGACACAAGAAAGGAAAAATTTAATTTGTTGGGAGTGTCCAGGAATCAAGAGACTGTGATGGTGAATAACAAAATGTAAGGCAACCAAAATTTAACCAGCTCCACTAGGACTAATAAAACAATACATAGGGGCTGCACAACAGGAAAGAAAGTGTGCTCTTTAGCATATAAATAACATAATCCAAAAATATGTCTACAAAAAATGCAGGAATACCTCAATCCAGGATAGTTTAGTTTCATTTTCAATGTTTGATTAGCCCTTTCCACTGCATCTCCACTGGCTGCATATTGCACGGTCACCCCAGCGATTGTATCTGTCCCTGGGAACCTCTAAAAGAAACTTGAAGATCTGAGTAATCTAGTAGGTTTGTGCCACCTCACCAGCTCAGTGAGGTGCCAAACTATTAAGAGCCTCAAAAACAAAAATCAGTAGCTTAAAATGAATTCTAAAACATGCCCCCTCCACTGACCTGAGTCCAGCCCACTAATGTTTCTGCTCCATAGTGGGTTAATGACACTACTGCCGCTGGCCTGTTCCTCAGTGTGGCACTGACAAGCTCCTGCTCGTTGATGTGCCACCAATGACATTTCCACTGGGTTTCTGTTTTTTAATGTGCCAACGTAAACATTCCTGCCTGGGCTCTTGTTCCCTGGTGCACAGACAACATCCTCACCAAGGTTTCTGCACAATGCCAATCCTGCTTCTGTTCCTGTTTTCAAGTGGGTCAACGAAGGTACAGACATCACCTTTGTTTCTGTACCCAGGTGTGCTGACACCACCTCTTTACTGTTCCACATGCAGGTCAGCAAGGATGCCAATGCCAAATTTGTTTCTGCACCCCAGTGGGTCAGCAAAGATGCCAACACCACCTTGGTTCCTTTTCCTGAGTGGGTCAGTGAAGAGACCAATGCAGCCTTTGCTCCTGTTCTCTGGTAGGTCGATGAAGACTATGCCACCATTTCTGTTCCTGCCCCTCAGTGGTTCGATGAGGTAATCCATCTGAACAACCTCAGCTACCTGCCCGACTCAGAGGCTGACCACCCCAACTCTTTCTCTGCCGCCAAGGCCAACCACATGAGTGACCCCAGCATTCCATCTGGGTCAGTGGCCACCCTCCAGAATGACCCCAGCTTTCTTCCCAGCTCTGTGGTCGCCTTTTTGAGCGGTCACAGTTTCCTGTCTAACCCCAGTGGTGCTATGGGGCGACAGTGGTGCGGTGGTAGAGCAGTTGCCTCCCAACCGGAAGGTTGAAGATTCAAATCTCGGTGTCTGCAGTCTACATGTTGAAGTGTCCTTGGTCAAGACACTGAACCCCCAAGTTGCCCGTGATGGTGGTGCATACACCCTCAGGTCCAAACAAAATTTTGTTGTACATGTCACAATTTCCTGGACACAGAGCAAGTTTGGTTTCATTAGCACATGAAAGTCACCAAGGTTTTGTGCACACCAAACAATGTATCCATGATTTATACTGGTGGCCAAATATGGATGAGGTTGTTCACAATACGTGCACGTCTCCTTTGTCAGCTGAATGACAAATTTGCCAAACCCTGTGCTGAACCACTTAAACTGATTCCTTTTCCTGAGCAGCCATGGCACAAGACTGCCATAGACATACAAAACACTTGTTAAAAGCATCGTAATTAGTTTGCAATTCATTAATTCCAGCAATTTGTGAGAGTAGTGATAAAAATACATAATTCTGATTTTAAATAAGAAGCTAGAACTTTTTTAAATGAATAAAATGAAAATGAGTGAATATATACGGGTAAATTATTCCAGTCAGAAGGAGCTCACACTTAAAGGGAAAGGGGTTAGGAGAAGGAGCACAACCTAAATTGACACACCTTTTATTTGTGTAACTGATATTAACTGTAACATCATGTTACATGTTGTCCATCTCTATCTAACCCGGTTTCTATTTCTGTCTCTTTCCAGTCTATGCTGGAGTCTCAGTACTGGTATTATATCTTGGAGATGAGCTTCTATGGTTCACTTCTCTTCAGTATTACCTTTGATGTTAGGAGAATGGTGAGTAATTCTTGCTAGATGCCAAAATGTAATCTTCTGTATTCCTGATGTATAAAATCATTGATCGCTTTGTAATTTTAGAAATCATTTCCTCATTTATTCTTATATTAGGAGTAACATGCAACATGCAAGGTTTATCAAAAGTAGTAAGAGCAATATGCTCACTCTCGCTTGCATGCCACACAACATTTTCACACAAAGCTTCAGGAATCACAACGTCACCATGCTACTGGGCAGATGGGGCTCTATGGCAGTGAATGGCAACTCAGCCATTAGGGCTCTCTTAGTACTATATTACAATTAGAACAAATAAACTGCCACACAGAGTCTTAAAAATGTATTAATTTCAAATCTTATATTTTCACTGTATGTACTGGTGTAAACTTTTAACTTGGACAATGGTAATATACAGTACTGTATGACACAAACAGTGAGGCTTCCTGTTTATAAAGGCCAAGGTTATCAATATCAGCTGAGAGCGGGGTGGCAGGCATTTTTCCAGCAGCTGCGATGCCTTTTGCTTCAGATCGCACTGCCTCTTGCCTCTGTTGGCTTCTGTGGCTCTTCCCCATCTCACTTTTGGCACAAGATAGCTGAGGCTATCTTGACGAAGGAGCCGGAGACAGAAGTTGCCTTTTCTGCATTCGAAGGAGCCGCTATTTTATTCACATACACACACAGCAAACTGAACTCATGAACACACCGAACAATCCCCGCCAACGTCAAACTGCAAATGCATCCCTCCCAGAGGGGCATTATGTGGGTCCCCGCCAGGTGTCTCTCTCTCTCTCTCTCCAATGCTACAATAGTAACAAGAACAAATGTTCATGGATATATATGGTAATGTACGGTACTGTCACAGGCAGGGCTGCAATGATTAGTCGACACAATCGTGATGTCGATTAATAATTCATTGATGTGCAATTTTAGTGTTGATACAGTATGTGGTATTATAAAACCACATAAGTGTTCATTTGTAATTGCATTGCACTACAGGAAGTCCTGAGGGCAGTATCACCTCAGTTGTCTGCCACGATGGCATTCTGTACTAATGAAGAAGTATGTATGTCACGTAGCTGTGTGAGGCTGGCCAAGCGACTGGGTGATTACATCAGTGAGGCATATCAAAACATTTGAAAAACAGCGGGAGCTGGCCAAGATGGTACAGAGTGAGCAGCTTCTGTGATCAGCTCAAACTGCTATCTCTCACTTGCTTTGAGAGCCTTTCCTTAGTAATCCATCAGTAATTCAACAGCCAAGCTATAACTTGAACAAACATCAAAGAACCATGTCTACCAAGAACAAACAAAAAGGAGCACATGCTGCTATTAGCTTAAACTCGGTTAGCAACGACAACATGCTAGTGCCTGGAAACAAATGTCTTATTGGAATGCTGCTGTGACCACAGTGAACAACAACAGCCTGGAGGAGGATAATTTTACTCCACTGCCACTTACCACAAGAGACTCGCCTGCTCCAAAGAAAGAAAGAAAATGGGAAAATCTGAACAATGACAGAATTATCAAAACGCTCCCAAGCTAATCAACGAGAGAGAAATGGGACAGAAAAATGGGGAAAAAGCCTACTACTTGGGAGATTGTGCTTTTGTTGAGTGGGAATACTTATTCCCCTCCACCAGTGGTAACAAAGAAGCCGTCTAGTGGCTGGGTAGTGACATTACACTCTCACCCTCAGTGTCCAGAACATAGGGGGTAATTTCAATGATGCCTTGAACAGCTTACGTGCTTTTCTCAAAATACAAACAGCTACTTAAAAGTCTTTATGGAATGATTTAAACTTACAGATATACAGAGAAAGAACTTCCACTCTCAAAGAACTTATACATGGCATAATAAGCATTGATCCTGTCAATCACGTATTGACTATTGGCTGGTATCCGTTATGGCCAGGCAGTGTGTGTATGGTGTGGACCCCAATAGCAGACAGACTACAGGTAGGGGAACTAAAGAAAGCAGTTTATTGCACAAACACAGGTTATTCTGGCTGGCAGGAAGACGAGCAGGCTCCGAGCAGGTAGGGAGCAACCGGGGAACCAAGAGGATGACGAGACCAGGAGGGACGGTAGCAGGAGGGACTCAGGAACCAAAAGATGAGCAGGTGAGCCGGCAGCAGGAGGCACACACACCAACCAGAAGATGAGCAGGTGAGCCGGCAGCAGGAGGTACACACACCAACCAGAAGATGAGCAGGTGAGCCGGCAGCAGGAGGCACACACACCAACCAGAAGACGAGCAGGTGAGCCGGAAGCAGGAGGCACACACACCAACCAGAAGACGAGCAGGTGAGCCGGCAGCAGGAGGTACACACACCAACCAGAAGACGAGAAGGTGAGCCGGCAGCAGGAGGCACACACAAACCACTCAGACGAGCAGGTGAGCTGGCAGCTACACAGAGAAGTGGCGCACCGCAAACGCAGAGGCAGCGAGTGCTCAAACCAAACCTAAATACGTAGAGCGGAACATAACAGAAAAAACAAACTGGGAAACATGGAGAAAACACGGGGTGAGATGGCATAGACAACCTGTAGCAGACAGCATGAGCTAGGCAAAGATCGCGGTGAATGTACGGGTCTGACATCGAAATGAACCAGCAAAGAGGCGGCAGAAGAACGGGGTGTATATATGTGTGACGGGACCGGGAGACAATGAGCAGCAGGTGGGTGAAATGATGGCTAATTGTGATGACAGAACAGCGGGGAACAGGACTGGGAGGAAACGAGCAGCAGATGAGTGACATGATGACTGATCAGGGTGACAGAGCAGGGAGGAGAGACAAGGAAAACAGAAACACAAAGTCATGAGGCCGAGCAACGTGAAACCGTAACAGTATCAGATCATTTATCAGAAATATCAGCTGGTTCTACTGACCAGCTGACGAATGATTTTAACTCATTGTTGGACTCCTTTGATCTCACCCAGTCAGTACTTGGCCCCACTCATCAACGTGGGGGCACACTGGACCTTGTCATCTCACGAGGTCTGTCTGTGTCCATTGGGGATCTATCAAACCTGGCCATTTCTGACCATTTCTTCATCCCCTTCGAAGTCCAGGCGCTGTCAAGTGCACCCAGACCCATGGCCCCATGCCAACGGCACAGGATTATTACTCCTTCAACCGCTCCAGACTTTGCTGCTGCTTTTCTAGCCTTCGATTTCTACTTTTCAGAAGCCCTGAACTCCCCTACATGCCCCGACGTCCTTCTCTCTTCGTTTGACTCTACTTGCTCCCGGATTATGGATTCCGTCGCTCCCTTTAGAAGGATGAACGCTAGGAACACTCCTGACCCATGGTTGAATGACACGACCCGTGCTCTGCGGAGACGCTGCAGACAGGCGGAGCGGAAATGGAAGAAGGACGGCCTGCACGTCTCCTTGGACATTCTAAGAGACAGCCTCGTCTCATATCAGAAAGCTGTAAATGATGTTAAAACCCAGTATTTATCTAATATTATTTCAAATAACAGTCAGCATCCCAGAGTTCTTTTCAATACTATTAATTTGGTTATTAACCCTGTTGTTGCTTTGGCCACCGAGGGGTCGGGGCTGACCTGTAATGAGTTCCAGAGCTATTTCAGTGACAAAGTCTGGGCTATTAGACAAAGTATTCCCAAGGTTCCACCTTCTGTACCACCTGTATCTCAGGCACTGTTTACTCTGGAAACCTTTACTCCTATTTCTCTGCCTCAACTCAAAAAATGTGTGTTACAGCTAAAGTCTGCCTCCTCCCCCCGGACCCTGTCCCAGCCAGGATAATAAAGGAGGTCATCAACACTGTGGGGCCCTCTCTGCTCATATTTCTTAACTGCTGTCTTAGGTTGGGCACGGCCCCCTCTGCCCTTAAGCATGCTATAGTGAGACCACTTCTCAAGAAGCCTAACCTCGAACCCTCCCTTCTGTCCAGTTTTTGCCCAATTTCTTAACTCAAAAAATGTGTGTTACAGCTAAAGTCTGCCTCCTCCCCCCGGACCCTGTCCCAGCCAGGATAATAAAGGAGGTCATCAACACTGTGGGGCCCTCTCTGCTCATATTTCTTAACTGCTGTCTTAGGTTGGGCACGGCCCCCTCTGCCCTTAAGCATGCTATAGTGAGACCACTTCTCAAGAAGCCTAACCTCGAACCCTCCCTTCTGTCCAGTTTTTGCCCAATTTCTTTTTTGCCTTTTTTATCTAAGATTATGGAAAGACTCGTCCTTACCCAGTTGCAGTCTCATCTGGATTGTCTGGATGTTGTTAATAAGTTTCAATCAGGTTTTAGGCCCCGTCACAGCAGTGAGTCTGCATTACTAAAGGTCCATAACGATATTACTATGGCTTTTGATGGCAAACGCCCCGTTATTCTAGTTCTTCTAAATCTTCTAGATCTATTGGCAGCCTTTGATACCATCAACCATGCAGTTTTGCTCTCCCAGTTGGAACACCTTGTCGGCTTCAGAGGTGTGGTTCTAGACTGGTTTACTTCTTTCCTGTCCAACAGAGCCTTTTCTGTCATTGATGATTCTTCCTCGACCATAGTCCCTCTTACCTCAGGCATCCCCCAAGGCTCGATTCTGGCCCTGTTGCTCTTTTTTTGAAATATATGTCATTACTTGGTTCAATTATATCAAGACATAATGTTCATTTTCATTTTTATGCAGATGATGTTGAGATTTACGTGCTGTTGAGATTTACGTGCCGTTGATACAATGCGATTCTAACACACTTGCCCCACTACATAATTGTATTCACAATGTTAAGCAGTGGTTATCGCAGAATTTCCTTAATTTAAATGTTTTTAGCTCCGATGCAGCCACTGATGTATCGACTTTAGGTCCTTCAGCCCCTTCATTCATGGATACTGTGAAAAACCTTGGAGTGATATTTGACAGCGGCCTCAATTTCAATAAGCAGATCAGGTCCGTGGTTAAATCTAGCTTTTTTCACCTGAGACTCCTAACGAGGGTGAAACCCTTCTTATCGCACTCAAATTTAGAAAAATCTATGT